GTCATACAGCACTTTTGGTCATCATTATGGACAACAACAGTCAAAGGTCTGGGGAACAGATACATTTAAGTTGAACCTATAACGTCACATCATTTTCTTCACGGTGACCACCACAATGCCAAAACAGACTTAGCCTTTTTAATGTAGCATGTAAGACGGTTCCTAATGAACACAGTTTTGCATAGTTACAGTCAACAGGTACATGCACATTTTTTCACAAATTAAATATAGCTAGGTCATGAAATACAGTAAATATATTTCCCAGCATGCTCTCAGCCATCAAAACATTTGAGCAAAGATATTCGTTTTATTTAATGAAGTATAAAATGACTGAGTAAATATTTTCAGCTAAAAGCTCATTGGGAAAATGTATACTGCATTAAATAAAGTCATGCTTTTCTATGGAAATCCATGACTTAAACATAAAATGGAACATTTGATCTTTTTAATGAAATCCTTTTTATTGACTGTAATGCACAGACACACCAACAGACGCAGTAATATCCCTTCAACATACATTGTAAAATTACTATTACAACACTCCTGCTTAATTTTACCATGGAGTTCACTTACTTGACTGTCATTGCTTATTTCTTTCCAAAAAAAAAAAAATACGCACCTATATCACAGTGTTACTAGAAAATAAAACATTTTCTCTTTTGTTTTGAACTCACACACAAAAAAAGTACTGTTGTCATCTTAGACAAAACTATTATTCTGCATTACAGTTATATGCTTGACATCTTAACATAAGCATAATAGGCATGTTAAGCATATGATAACTCTTTTTAAACTGAACACAGTCCAATCTTTTTTCTTAGATACTCAATCTTTTGTCTAGGCAGTGGTTTGGTTAAGATGTCAGCCTTCATATTTTCTGTACAGCAATACTTCAGCTGGATTTGTCCATTTTGCAAACATTCACGAATGTAGTGGTAACAAATGTTTATGTGCTTTGTTCTTGCATGATCAACTGGAATTTTTGCGATTGCAATTGTGGTCTCCATTCCAAGCTCAGTTAGTAGTCGTCTTAACCAAATTCCTTCTTATGCAGCTTGGCTCAAAGCAATATACTCAGCCTCTGCAGTTGAAAGTGCAGCTGTTGCTTGTTTCTTACTAAGCCAACTGACTGCACCTCCTGCCCAGGTTTGATGTAACCCTCTGGCTGCTCCATGTAGATATCCTCTTCCAGGTGTCCATTCAAGAATGCAGTCACAACATCCATTTGATGCACATTTAGATTGTTTTGCACAGCAAATGATAACAATGTAAGAATTGAACCAAATCGTACAACTGGGTCCTGGGTCAAAATGGACAAAAATTCAATTCAATTTTATTTATATAGCGCCAAATCACAACAAAAGTTGCCTCAAGGCGCTTCATAGAACCACCCTGTGATGGTTCAGGTCAGTTATGGTTCAAATATGAACTGCATGTAAGGGTTTAAAAGATTTCCCTCAGACACTCTTGCATTTATGAAGTCTAAAAATAAGAAGCAGGAATGCAGAAGTTTAGCAATCCCTCAGATCACTTGATTATAATAACAGCTTAAATAAGTGAAGGGTTTTCCTCTGTTCCATGACAGCAAAATGTATTTTAGGTTTGCAATCACATATGTTTGAAATGTATTATATATATAAATGTCAGTCAAATCCATTCTAAAATGGTTTAAAAAATGGTCTTCTCAATAAAGTACAACGCAAGACCTTTTAATTCTGTTGTTATATATGTCAATGGTATTAACCTAATAAGCTAAATTTCAGGGTAATGTTTTTACTTCTCAGAGTGGTCCAGTGGGTGAACACATTGATAACCAGGAGAGAAAACCAGGAGATAAATCTTATGAATCATTCAAAACCAATGACAACGGTACAATTTTTCATTATACAATAACACAAAAAGCAAAAATATATAAACTGCTGACTTCATAACTTTGAAAGGATTTGCAGCAACAGGCACTGTGTATAATGCTTATCTGGTTCATGCAATCCTGCAGAAACCACAGATGATTACATGAGTGGAAACAAGAAGGTAGGAGAATAAACCTTTATTCAAAAGATCAAAATGAATATTTACTCTGTTCTGCCATATGGCAATGTAATTTGATTACATATAGTACCTCTTTATTTGTTAATACAGACGCTGCTTGACAGACTTCATCTTCAAGACAACGTTGAACAGAAGTTGTCACCTGTAGATTTTCTTCAAATACTTCCACCTGGGAAACAGATGGACCATGTAAAATCTGAGAAAGATCTAGCTCACACTTTTCTCTATAGGCTGATAATGTTGGACTACAGGGTCAGATATATTCCTGTAAGACCAGACAATCCTAAGTTATCTGACAACACTAAGTCATCTATCTCAATGTCTGACGCGTCTGATGACACTGAAATAGATGATGACAGTTATCTAGAGGATTTCTTGAACACCACTGTAGACACACATAAGAAAGAGAAGGCTTGTGTGCATCCAATGGACGTTCAGATGGCAGTATTTCACTGCTCAGACAGCTTCCTTAAACAGATGATGATTACGAAGCTCTCTCAGTGTCAGTATGCCTTACCTTTGCTTGTTCCTGACCCAGTCACAAAGGAGATTCAGTTTCCTCTGTGGACTTTCAGAGAAATAACAAAAACCTGGAAGGTAAAACAGTGTGATTCAGACATTGTCACCATGAAGAGTGTTCCAGTCTACAAAGCTGAAACACCCTTGGTGTCATTTTTCCGCCTGGGTTCTTTGTCAGTGTCTAAATCTCAGCTGATGAACACTTTGAACAACCGTCACGACACCTTCTTCCACAGAAACTGCCCAGGAAGCACCAAGTCTCGCTATTTGATGGATGGTGTGGCAGAGATTGCCTGGTACTGCCCTGCTGGAAAACCCAGTGATGCCTTCAATGACTGCATTGCCTTCTGTAATCTCCATGGTGATGCTCTGTTGAATAAAAAACAGCGTGACATACTGATTGAAAAATCTTCAGTCAGTGTTTTTCTTGTGGCATCTCTGCAAAGAAATATAGAAATTCGATCTTTAATATCATCTCATTTGAAGGCTGAGAAGCCTCTCATTTGTTTGATTGTTGATGACAGCTGTGATGCTGTTAAGACAAAAAAGGGAAAGTATATAATGGGCCTCAAAGACAGAAACCACTCAGATGTATCTGAACAGCTGAAAATGATCATTAGAGAGGTTTTGTTTTCTCTTGATGGTCCCAGCTTGAAACCATCCTTCCAGCTTGAAACCATGGCTGAGCTCTCTGAAATCAGAGTGGATGAAACTGACCCAGCCTGTCAAAGAGGGAAATCTGCTGCTATTAAAATAAACAATCTGCTAAAAAAGGATAACATGGATGTCTCAAAGATCAAAGATGATTTTCTCCCTTGTCAAGGCCAACTGTGGCATCAGTGGAGCAAAATACACAGAGAACTGTTTCATCTAAGAGGAGAAATTGAAATGGAGAAAAGTAAAAGGGATAAGGAACTGATGGGAATACGTGAGAAACAATGTGCTGCTTCCTGCAGTGAACTGATGCAGTTGTTCATTGGAAGTCTCTCATCATTGCCACCAACAGACAGAGCGCATTTCCTAAAATGGACTCAGATCTTCATAGATGCCCTCTCCACAGATGATCTTTCTTCAATTCTACAAAGTTATGATGAAAAGTGGTCTGAGGTCTTGGTTTTGACGAACAAACAGGACAAATCAGATCTGTTATTAAAAACACAAACTGAACTTGAAGACATATCAAAAAAACTTCAGTCTGTAACTTTTGGTTTGGAGCACATCTTCAGAGAAATGGGACAGATCTATGAAGCCCATAAAACAACACAAAGAGAGAACAAACACTCTGACTGGTCTAAATACCCTGAGCTGGCTGCACAGCTGATGATATCAGGACACCCGATGGAGCTGATAGATGGTGATGCAGGTCATGTGCCTTTAACATGGATCTCCAGTCTTTTAGACGAAGTCATCAAGAAACTGGGGGACCAGAGAGTTTTTGTGTTGTCAGTTTTGGGCCTACAAAGCAGTGGAAAATCAACAATGCTGAACACCATGTTTGGGCTGCAGTTTGCAGTGAGTGCTGGCAGGTGCACCAAAGGTGCCTTCATGCAGCTGCTCAAAGTATCAGAGGAGATGAAGAAAGACTTGAAGTTTGACTATGTTGTAGTGGTGGACACTGAAGGACTGCGTGCTCTTGAGTTAGAAGGTAACAACACTCTTCATCATGACAATGAACTGGCAACACTTGTTGTTGGTCTGGGAAATCTGACACTGATCAACATCTTTGGAGAGAATCCGTCTGAGATGCAGGACATCCTGCAGATTGTTGTTCAGGCTTTCATGAGGATGAAGGAAGTTAAACTTTCTCCCAGTTGTGTGTTTGTTCACCAGAATGTCACAGATGTTGCAGCAGCAGAGAAAAACATGGATGGAAAGAGACGCCTGCAGGAAAAACTGGACCACATGGCCAAACTAGCAGCCAAAGAGGAAGTTTGTAATGCAGAGTGCTTCAGTGATGTTATTGAATTTGATGTTCAGACAGATGTGAAATACTGTGCCCAGCTGTGGGAGGGCAGTCCACCCATGGCTCCTCCAAATCCAGGTTACAGTGAGAGCATCCAGGAAGTGAAGAACACCATCCTCTCTAAAGCTTCAAAGTCTGCTGGGATCACTCTCTCACAGTTCAAAGGCAACATTGAGGACTTGTGGACTGCACTGCTGAATGAAAGTTTTGTTTTCAGTTTTAAAAACACACTTGAAATTGCAGTGTACAGAAAACTGGAAGTTCAGTATGGGAGCTGGATCTGGACCCTGAGGGGCAACATGTTGACCATTGAAAACCAACTTCATAACAGAATTGAAAATGGAAAACTTGATGAGGTTGAACAGTCTTATCTTTTTAAAGAAACAAACAAAACATATGAAGAAGTCAGAAAAGAAATGACAAAGTACTTTGAGGATGACAAGGAGAAAGAGATCTTGGCTCAGTGGAGAGGACGATTTGAAATCAAAATGAAAGAATTTCGTGATGAACATGCAAACAGAGTAAAAATAAAACTGGATGGCATTATCCAGCAGAAGAAAGGTCGTAAAATGATGGATGATAAGAAATCAGAGTTTGAGAACAAACTGCTACAGAAGAGCAAAGAGCTCGCTCAGAAACTGAAGGATAAGGCCAAAGATGAAAAGGAGCTTGAGAGACAGTTCAGCTCTGTTTGGAGCAGCTGGGTTACTGAATTAACAGCAGATACAAAACCTGTTGAAAACATCAACTTGGAAAAAGATCAGTTAACGATCCTTCAGGAACTTGGTTTTGAGCCAGCTCTCGTAGATAAATGTAAAACAAGTGGAAAATACAAGAAAATATCAGACGTTGGTGATTATTCAGTTTATATGATGACAAGTAGTAATCAGTTGATTGGTTTTGTAAAAAAGTTTATTTCAAGTGGTTTCTCCCATGAAGAACAACAACAGATCGGATCGTTCATTGACAAAGCTGAAAAAGACTCACTTGATGCAATCAGAAGCAAACCTGTAGTTACAAGAGGCTACTCAACAACTTATTTGTGTGAAGTGGCCAATCATGTAACATTAGAATTGCAGAAATTTCTGTCAGAGAAGAAATACCCTTTGAGGAAGGAGTTTAGTGTTGATCTCTTACTGTTTGTGTTCCACAGAGCAAAGAGTTGGCTTCTAGAGTCCGTGGAAAAATTTGTAAAGAACAATGATGCCAAGGCTTACTTAGAAAGTAAAAAAACACAATATTATACAGTTTTTAGAAGCTTTTGTAAAGAAAACTCATCTGCTGTTGTGCTTGGAGAACTAATCTGTGAGAAGCTGAAAGTTTCCACTGTTGAGGCTGTCTGTAACAAGACTGCCATTGATCTCGCTGGAAGGATGAGGTGTAATTTCCCAGCATTCAGTGGGAATAGACTGGATTTGGACAAACATGTGTTGAAGTCACTCGCTGAGAAAGAAAACTTTGATGATTTCATCACCTACATCAGAAATCCAAGGAGACAAACAGAAGCTTTCATTAAAGCAGAAGTACAGAAATACATCTACACGAGTCACAATGATGAAGCTGTGAATATACTCAAGAAAAATGTTGATGGCATCAAAACAAGTGTGACTCAGGCTTTATTTACTGCAACACAAAAGGTCCAAAATCAGAGAGGAGACACAGATATGTGGCTGAAAGAATTTTCTAACATCCTAAAGGATGAGCTGACATTTGACAACATTTGTTCTGAAAATTTCAGTGACATAAAACATTTTCACTTTCTCAAGGAAGAGATAGAAAAAGGATTTACATCCATCACTGAGCAGATGAGCAGCCTGTCACTGTATAAGCTGAAGGAATCCAGGCAGAAGCCTGAAGAAATCCTCATAGATCAGCTTTGTAACTGCTGCTGGGTAAAGTGTCCATTCTGTGCAGCTGTTTGTACCAACACCATTGAAGATCACAGTCCTGATGAGCACAGCGCCCCTTTTCATCAACCTGGTGCAGTTCGTGGAGTGCACTGGAGAAACACAGATGAAATGTTCATTAATTTCTGCACAACAAATGTTGCAAGTGAACTCAGTTTTTATAATTATGAGTCAGCTAAAAGCTTTCTCTATAAAAACTATAGAGATGCTGGTCCAAGGTTTAAAACCTGGAGAATCACGCCTGATGAGTCTAAACTGGCTTACTGGAAATGGTTTGTGTTTAAATTTCAAAAGCAACTGGAAGAGCACTATAAAGCAAACTTCCATCGCAAAGGAGAGATTCCCCATGACTGGGGAAAAATCTCTAAACCTGATGCAATCAAAAGTCTGGAGGAAATGAGTCAAACAATCACTAAAGCCTGATATTTTGCCTTTACCTGAAAAATTAGGAAAGGTAGTTAAGGGAAGACTGCATAAAGAAGACTGACTAGTTAATGCATACAGACAAAGAGAGCAAAAAAATTGGAGTCATAATTCAAATCCACATACATAGTAGGATTTGTAGAAACTATATAGAAAAAAATCCTGTAAGAAAATTCAGGATCTGAGTAGATGTTTCGTTTTGTTTTTGTTTTTTTGTTTTTTTCAATTTAGTTGAAGTTTGAAAGTAACTCTTACTAAAATGTTATTTTACAGTAAAAGATTTTAACCATGAAAAAATTATTCCTGAACCTATATTCATGTTCCTCTTTTTTGAAGATGCTAATGCTTAAAATTGTTACATATAAGTTCTAAACGAACAGATTATGTCATTTTTGTTAACTTTTTGGTTTCAATATACATGACAAATGTCAGTTGTAGGTCTGTCAACGAGAATATTTTCATTCATTTTAATTTGTGTTATGTATTATTTTCTTTCATTTTTTATATTAATTTTCTTTTTCTAAGAGAAACTGAAATTCATACTAAGGTATGAAATGGATTAGTCAGTCAATCAATCAGTAATTTTATTTTAATGAGAAAGCTTTTTTTCTTGAATTTCTTAATTCTGTGACATGATTAATAAGTGGTCTGAAAGTAATATTGGTGTTATTAACATGTAAAATGAGTTACAAAAGAATAAACACTTTAGATTAAGTAAATGACCATTTTGTCTGTGTTTTGTCTGCGTTTACTGTGGAACATATACATGCATAGAATTAAGCCTACCCTATTAGTAAACTAACAGAAAATGCAAAGTGGAGACGGATATCAGGGATGATTTGTGATAAGAAAGTAGCAAGAGTGAAACAGAAGGTTTACAAGATGGTAGTGCGACCTGCTATGATGTACGGTTTGGAGACACGGCACTGACAAAAAGACTTAGATGCAGATGGCAGAGTTGAAAGACAGGAGGCCGACTGATTCTGATGTGTGCAAAGAAGGGATAGTTAATATAATGGACAAAGGATATGAAATATGGAGCTGCCAGGCTATAGGAGAAGAGGCAGACCACAGAGATGGATGTAGTGAAATAGGATATGTAGAGGGTTGCTCTGACGGAGGACAGTAGTGACAGGGTGAGATGGAGGCAGATGATATGCTGTGGTAAGAGAAGAATCATCTTTATAATAATAACTAATAACACGTTTTATTTATAGGGCACTTTGAAGATGCCAAAGGTTACCTTACAATTAGTACAGCAGAAATAAAACATATACACAATTTAATAAAGTAAACAAATACAACCACAACTATAAAACTAATCAAGGAAACAATAGACTGAGACCAAGTTATAATGATGGATAAGCAGTTGTGAACAGCTGGGCTTTGAGATGTGATTTAAAAGTAGAAAGAGAATTTATAGTCTGGAGATCTGACATTCCAAAGTCTTAGGGCAGAACAACTAGGGATAGCTCAGTAGATAGATTGGTGGACCCATGATCCGAAGGTCATGGGTTTAAATCCACTGAATGGCTACCCTGAGGTACCCCTGAGCAAGGTACTGTCCCTACACACTGCTCCCCCGGCGCCCAATGGCTGCCCACTGCTTCATTGAGTGAATGGGTTAAATGCAGAGAGGAATTTCCCCACTGGGATCAATAAAGTATACATTATTATTATTATCATTATTAACTAAAGGCTCTGAGTTCCAGGGTAGTCAGGTGGAGCAGAGTGTACGAGAGGGTGAATACATATGGAGAAGATCAGATAAATATGGAGGAGCAAGTTCATGAAGGGCTTTGAAAGTGAGACGAAGGATCTTGAAATTGCTACATAGATGAACCAGAAGCCAATTGAGTTGTTTAAGAACAGGTGTTATATGTTTTGTTGATCTGAATATAATATGAGCAGCTGAATTCTGAACTAACTGAGGTTTATGAAGAGAGAGAATTACATACCATTCCAACATACCAACATTACTATAGAGAATGATCAATAATCAAGATGAGATGTGACAAGAGCATTGACAAGTATGGCGTATGTTTGGCGTAAGTGAAGGACAAAGGTGATTAATATTGGAAAGCTGAAAATTTCTTGATGCATGCTCAATCATCCAGGTAAGTAAATCTCCAAAAGTAGATTCTGTTCATCTGGACGTAGCATTATGCAAATGTACTGTTTATAAGATTGGGGAACCCTGCAGTCAGCTGAGACTGAAGAAGTCACTTGAATGAGTGACGAAACGTTTCTCCCACTGAAAACGCTACATCCAGATAAACAGAATCAACTTTTGGAGAGAATTGAAAATAAGAAGGCCAAGTAATATTATATACATGTGGTGTGTAAGAGAGAGTACTGTCAAGGATGATACCCAGAGTCTTAACCTGAGAGGAATGTGTGAAAAGAGCTATCAATAGATGAAGGAAAAACTCTTGTATTTAGACGGTTTAGACTCAATACTTAGAGAATAAATTCTATTTAATTACCATAAGGTTTAAGAAAATTATAAGCCAACAAAACTTTGGTTTCACTTAAACAATCAGTAATGGATTCTTTTGAAAAAGAAGTAGATGTGGGTGTTATCTGTGTAACTGTGAAATTGAATGTTATATTTTCTGAAAAGTACATAATTTAACAAACTGTGAACAGCCAGAGAGGTACAGTGGCTTGCAAAAGTATTCGGCCCCCTCTGAACTTTTCCAAATTTTGTCACATTATAGCCACAAACATGAATCAGTTTTATTGGAATTCCACGTGAAAGACCAATACAAAGTGGTGTACACGTGAGAAGTGGAACAAAAATCATACATGATTCCAAACATTTTTTACAAATAAATAACTGCAAAGTGGGGTGTGCGTAATTA